TACTTGGCAGCTTCTAACAAAAAAGAAAATACAAAACAAACAATACAGAATCCACCTAACAACCACATAGTCATCTTCACAACGCACCATGAGCAGCACGTGTGCTAACGTGCCGAAGGAAATCTATTTCTTTTAATGATAGCGCAATCGAAGGCCTGCTGACACATGCACTGCCCAGCCTTTCTATTTCTGAAGCCTTATAAATTTCACGTATCAACTGGTCCCGATGCCGCCTGATGACGGTACAAAGCTGAAAATCAGGGACACAGCCGCAGTCTCGGCATTCCTAGCAAAAAGTTCCGATGATGTGATTTCCGTGCTGAAAGATAACAAATTTTATGGCTACCAGGCATGCTCAATAGATATTAAAGATCTGTACTACTCATTGCCACACAGTGAGCTTCTAGCTTGCATTCGCGGGTGCATTGACAGTTTTGGCGTTGTGAATTACCAGAATGCAGTAGGCATATCTGTTGAAGGTTTTATGGAACTGCTACAGTATTACCTGAGGTCGACATTTGCAGAATGGGACGATCATATCTACTTGCAACGTCAAGGGGTGTGCATAGGATCATGCCTTGCGCCCATTTTGAGTGATTTATTTTTAGCCAGCCGTGATCGTGCCATTCAGAATTGCTTGGGATCCACATCTGTTGGCGCTCACTGCAGAGGCGGCCGCATACTCCGCACAACTTTCCGATGCTAACTGGGCAGACACCTGTTCGAAGGCTGCAAACCAGATGAGCTCTAAGAGTGCGTGGCGACTCTTTAGAAGCCTTCTCGATCCCTCCACCACCAGGGGAGAAACGCAACGCCAGCTCCACCGTGTTCTGCATGCATTTCAGGGCACTACGGATGAACTCGCGCGAGAACTTTGTGACCGCTACATCTGCCGCACAATTGATCCCGCAGGCCCAGCATATACGTATTCCGGCGCCCCTAACACCGAGCTCGACGCCCCATACACGCTTTCTGATTTACGATTTGCACTCACGAAAATGCGACGGGGCACGGCCCCTGGACGCGACGGAATCACAGTATCGCTCCTGGCAAATCTTCCCGACCAAGCACACCTCTCGCTACTCCAGCTTATAAATTCGATATGGGACGGTTCTCCGCTTCCAACGGAATGGACCACATCGGTCGTGACATTCATTCCCAAATCGGCAAAGTCCGTTAGTATTGAGGCACTGAGACCCATCTCACTTACGTCTTGCGCAGGCAAACTCATGGAAACCATGGTTCGCGAACGCCTTTCAGCCTACTTGGAGGCCAGGAGCACCTTTGCCGACACGATGTTTGGCTTTCGCCCGCATCTGTCGGCGCAGGACGTCCTGCTCCAGCTTCAACACGACATCATAGAGCCGACTACTATGCGCCATAACGATAAAGCCGTGCTCGCTCTCGATCTCCGCGGGGCGTTCGACAACGTCAAACACAGCGCTATACTCGCTAACCTGTCTACCACAAACTGCGGGCAGAAGACTTTCAACTACATTCGCGCCTTTCTATCACATCGCACCGCCTTCATTCGCCTTAATTCTACCGAACACGGCCCGTACTTATTAGGCACGCGGGGTACACCTCAAGGGGCAGTCCTGTCTCCTCTGCTTTTTAACCTGGCGATGATGAACCTCCCCTCTCTTCTAAGCGAGGTCGAGGGAATACAACACGCACTATATGCGGACGATATCACAATTTGGACCAACACCGGCTCCTTAGCGCAAATCGAAGAACGCCTGCAAAAGGCTGCCCTTCTGGTGGACACCTACGCAGGTTCATGTGGCCTGGAGTGCTCTCCAGCTAAATCGGCTCTTCTTTCAGTCTCTTCGCTACCGCCGCCTCAAATTTTTCTTCCGTCCGGGCCCATCCCGTCAGTGCAAAATATTCGGGTTCTTGGCCTTCACCTCACATCGTCCTTGGATCCAAAGGGCACAATATCAGGCCTCAGACGCACCAGCGAACAGGTGAGCCGCATGATACGGCGAGTTTCTACCAAGCGCGGCGGCCTCCGCGGGTCTCAGTCCCTCCGATTGGCCCACGCGTTTGTGACCAGTCGCGTCCTCTACGCCTTGCCTTACCTTCGCCTGCGTCGTCGACACGAGCACCAGCTGGACGTCCTTCTTCGTTCAGTATACAAACGCGCTCTGGACCTACCTATTGCAACTTCCAACAGCCGATTCACGGCTTTGGGGGTACACAACACCTTTGCAGAGATGCGCGAAGCTCATCGCGTTAACCAAATCAATCGACTGTCGCAGACGCCTTCAGGGCGCCGTCTTCTACACAGACTTGGCCTTAACCCGATATCTGACCAAGACCCTCTGCAGCCGATACCAGAGCTCTGGCGTCAAAAGCTATGGGTGGAACCTCTACCCCGTAATATGAACCCTGACCTCCATCCTGGCCGTAGGCTAGCACGCGCCGCGGCCCTTCATACGCGACACTCCGATCGTCCTGGTGTTTTCTACGTGGACGTCTCGGGTCCCTCCCCCTCGGGTCACTTCACGGCTGCCGTGATTACAGAGGGCAAATACGTAGATGCCTCTCCTTTCGAGCAGACACAGTAACGCACGCTGAAGAGGTTGCCATAGCTTTGGCCGCCTCTCACCCTGCCTCACGCACCATCCTGACGGACTCGCGCTCGGCCTGTTCTCAGTACCTTCAGGGTTCCATTGCTCCGCTGGCGGCTAGCCTACTACAGGCAGCCTCTTGGCGCTTTAACCCTCATCCCATTCGTATAGTGTGGACCCCAGGCCACTCGGGCCTGCCCGGCAACGAGGCGGCAAATGCCGCTGCCCGCGCTTCTTCTGTCCGGGCCGTTGCCCCTCCATGTCCCGAGACGGAATCTGGCAATACCAACCTGACGCGCTTTCGCGAAATTTTGGCTTATTACCGGGCTTCGCGCCGCCTCTACCCGGACCCCGCACGCGGTTTGGAGAAAGCGGACGAACGACTGCTGCGCCGCCTGCAGACGAACACTTTTATCAGTCCGGCGGTCGCCAGGCACTTTTTGCCGGAAATCAATGGCACCTGCTCGACCTGTCATGTGCTCGCTGACACATATCACGTCGTAGCATCGTGCCCAGTTAATCCCGTCCCTTTCTCATCCCCTTTTCCTATCCCAACTAGAGAGGCTTGGGAGGAGCACCTGCTCGGCTGCTCTACCTTGGCTGCACAACGCTCCTTGGTGGAGCGCGCACGGGCAGCTTCCAGCTCCACTGGCGTCCCGGAATAGGGTCTTGCCACTCTAGCACGCCGATGGGCCACGTCGGCACTCTCTAGTAAACTTTTTCTGAAATAAATGTTTTTTACCACCACCACCACATCTGTTAAGAGAGTATTCCGCTATGTTGACGATTTCCTTGTGTTGTTTCAAGCTGGAACCTCCTCGGATGGTCCGCCTTTGACTAGTATTTTAGAAATTTTCAGTAAGTGTCTTTCTCCGCTTGTTATAACACATGAAGTTCCGGACAGAGGAGCCATCAGGTTCCTAGATTTAATGTTAACGTTGAGTCCTTCCCACGTGTGTTGGGCCTATGAGCCACGCGCCAACAAGCCAATCCTCCCTTTTGGTTCAGCACATTCGAAAGTGGTGAAGCGCGCTATTGCTAAGACTTGCTACACAAACGCTTTGCGAAAGTCCTGCCATCACACAATTCTGTCCAGCTTTAATAAACAAACTAAACGCCTTACAGAAGCTGGTTTCCCGATGTACGTTTTGACCGCCGTTGCTGAGTGCCTACTCAGAGAAATCAGAACGAGCCCAGAAAATAATGCTCAGAACCGTACAAAGGATAAGGGACGTGGGAAACGAAACTTCGTCGTTATTCCCTATATCCACGGCGTCACCCACAATCTCAAAAAAGTAGCCAGCAGGTGCGACGTAGACCTGGTTTTTTCTGCCCCAGAAAAACTGGCTAGGTTGTGCAGAGCCGTGAATCCTGGTTCGAGGGGCGAGCGAGGCTGCAAAGTCAAGCATCGAAAGAAGTACGTACCATGCATTGAAGGAGTGGTGTACTCACTACCCCTGTCTTGCGGCAAGTGGTACATCGGCCAAACAGGCAGGTGTTTAAATGAGCGGCTGAAAGAGCACGCTCACAACGTCTCCTCTACAGTTTCGGGCCATCTCGGCATTCATTGCCGAGACTGCGGCTGTGTCCCTGATTTTCAGCTTTGTACCGTCATCAGGCGGCATCGGGACCAGTTGATACGCGAAATTTATGAGGTTTCAGAAATAGAAAGGCTGGGCAGTGCATGTGTCAGCAGGCCTTCGATTGCGCTATCATTAAAAGAAATAGATTTCCTTCGGCACGTTAGCACACGTGCTGCTCATGGTGCGTTGTGAAGATGACTATGTGGTTGTTAGGTGGATTCTGTATTGTTTGTTTTGTATTTTCTTTTTTTGTTAGAAGCTGCCCAAGTACATATTGTGCAGTTCTGGCAAATAAATCTTGTTGTAAGTTCAGTGCCGCTGTCTGTCTCCTTCTTTTTCTTGTCTCTCGTTTTTGGCGCTGTTTTTTATGTGAATGCAGGGTGCATTTGCCTTTTCAACCCTCCCTAAAAAGATCTTATGATTCACAGGTTGCAGAGTGCACGGTTATCATGACAACAATGCTGGCAAAAAATTACTTTAACGGAGTCAACGTAATAATGTAACAATTATGCAGAGACATTATGAAAGGATAACAGAAGGGCCGGTTTTGACAAAAATTTGACAGATAACTTAAACCATTAAACTGGTAATAAGTTGAAAGAAATGCTCCGTTTTGTTTTTTAAAGCATTGACTGTCATGTTGTAATTCTTAGCTTATTTTTATAACACTACTTTTGCAATGTTTTATTTCTTGGTGTTGTTTGCCTACTTTGAATATTTGCTCATAGTTCTTTGGGTTTTTTTTTGCTGTTTGTTTCTGTCAGATATTAAATAGTCTTGATCATAGCCCATTATATCCATTACAGACTGTAGGTGGAAGCAGCCTAGGAAGACTCCGTCTTCAATATAACACCACATAACAATAAAGTGGCAACTATTTTAATGCTTTTCCTTGTTTCCATTTATTTACACTCAGCAGATCTTTCTGCCAACACTTCTCATCCTCCTAAGCTTTCTTCCCATTGTGTTAGTCTCTTGACCAGGTGTTTTTTTACATTTTCAAGCGTATACTTTTCTAGAAAATATTTCTGTAGAATTTCCGAGTTTCCGGTCTGCTGCATGCACATTTCCCAGTCAATCATGTCATCATTGTAGCGCCTTTTGTCCTCTTCAGCTCTCCGCTGGTAGACCTACAAACAAGCACAGTTACTAGGCATTCCAAGCATTAGGGCAACTTTTTAGTTTAAACAGTCATATCACAGCGAGTGGCACATCTCCTCTTAAACAGTCATATTTCAGCGTATGGCACACCAATTAAATTGGTAGTTACTTAAATGCCGCTATGTGAAATCACACACTAGGAGGCTCCAGGTTAACGTTGACCTCGGAAAAGCTCTTAATGCCCCACCCATTTCACCCTCTCAAATTCATATATAGGCAAATAATAGAACCTAACCCATCAGGTAGAGGCAGGAACGAGGTGCGCATCCAGCACAAGCTAAAGAATCTAGATGTAAACTGTGCTATGGCAGGCAAAGAAATAATTTGGTGTGCAGAGAAGCTTTGTCTGAGACTTCATGTAAGCTGTCCTTTGAGCAAAATAAAACAAAAGGTGAAGCACAGTATTATCTTTCAATAATGATTAAGGGCAATGGCAGAAAAGCAGACTGCACCAAGAAGAGAGTAAAGTTTTTTTTTTCCCTTCTTCTTTAAGTCCTTAGTTGGCCTTTCAGGTGATTGTGAGCGTATGATCTGTGCACTAGAGATCATTCACCATGTAAAAACCTGGTGAGGGGCAAGTGTGCAAGGAAATCTAATATGCAAGTGTTTAGACCAAATAATCGAAACCATACTTGTACTAAAGAAAAGAATGCCAAAACTGCTGAGCTAATGATGGTAATGTAATAAATATATGCTGTAACTCTGTCTTCTTACAATGATATGAGGCTGAAGATGATAGTGTTGGCCCAATTATGAGGTGCTGCTCTGAATGTAATCTGAATGAGAGAAAAGTGCTATTAGATATAGCACTTGTCTTGTCTTGCTTCTACCGTCTAGGCCTTGGTATTGCACTACTGCTCTGTTGGAGATATTTTCAGTAACACTGCAATAAAAAGCAAATGATCTAAGGTGGACGGAAGGAAGGAAGCAAACAACGGGAGAAACCAGGGATGTTAACCAGAAAGACATCTGGTTGGCTACCCTGCATTGGGGAATTAGGGAAGGAAAAGAGGGAAGAGAAAAAAAGAAAAAAAGGGAAGGCAGACAGTAAATTCACTGCAGCGGGTAGAACTCCACCACAAGTAAGAGGCGTTCACACAAACCTGTCGTCCTCAAAAAACACAAGAGGGCTTTCACAGCCTTGTGAGCTAGTCATAAAGCAGAACTAGCTCTGCGCCTTACCCACTATAATTTACAAGCTGAGATTACACAACAGAATCTCTTCCAGCAATTTCACTAGGATGTAAAACGATACACTTGTTGCTCTATTTTACAAAGAATTGCAACTGCCTTAGTATAGAATAGAACCCTTGCTGTATGGTATAAAGCCACGTGGAAGCTCAGCCTGACAACTTAAGTCAAACTGCCAAATGAGCTAGATAACAGAGTATGAAACCTTGTCAAAACATAGCAGGCATTGAGTATTGAGTATGATAGCATGGCAACATTCCAGTCTCTTTTCTGTTTCACAACTACGTTTTTGTGAACTGGCTCAAAGACAAAAAGCATGCTTATTAAATGAATCAGCAGCTAGTGATGAGCTTCAAAGAGCCAAGAGTGCATAAGCGTTCCATATTTATCCTCAATGAGAGAAGAACAGTCCAGTTCAATCTTCGCTGCCTCACATATTGCACATGGATTGTATTTTGTACAGTAACCATCATATCTGACTGCAAACAAATCATTGTTGAATCGAGTACTATGTCTGTTCTGTCTTCTAAGATTTTGTTACTCAAGATTCTGCTCTGAAAACGAAAAAAATCTGCTGAAACATCTGGTTAGATGCTCCAAAACATTAGTCTCTAATTGTCCGTTCTTACCAAGAACACTTTTCGCCATTTTATGTAGCTAAAATACACACAAGCATGACAGTAAAATTGGCAATGCTCGTGAAATCATGCATCACTTATATCGGCCACAGATGGTGTGCAATCATAATTTTTTCTATACAATGTACGATGTGAGTGCTAATTCATATGCAAAAAGGCAAACTAAAATCACATACAATGTTGTACTCTCAGACTGACTTGTTGATAACAAACTTGAATAAGACTTTCACAAGCATATTTGAAGTACCAACATATTAAAAAATTAACTACACATCGACAGCTTATTACACACTCATTTAATAAAATGCACAGATTTTGTTTTGCTCAGCCTTTTTCTCTTGTAATTCTAATCTGAGTTGCTAGTGAAAGTTACCAGTTTCTTAAGGTCACTCGTGTGAAGTTTACTACCTTTGAAACTCCTTACCTGCTTTTCACACTCGGAAAGGGCTTTCCATTTTTCTGCTAGAACTTTTGCCTGTTCCTAAAGCAGGACCAAAGAAAAAACTGATTAAGTTACTGGTAACTTGATAATGAATATGTGTAAGTACTTACAGCAATTTTTCGGTTGGGCTGTCTGGCTTCAATGCAGAAAAAAGTATATGCCGATCGAGGAAGTCCTGGCTTCTTTAGCTGTCGCACCTTCTGAAAAGTCAAAAATGGAGAACTGCACATGTTAGTACTGCCCTCGGAGTGATGTGAAAGTGGGCATAATCTACATTAAATGGCACTGGTATCTGTTGTCACAACAACAGATGTAACAATAAAAACCAAATAACAAGAAAAGCAGCTCACTGCCTCCAGACGACGACTCCTTCTCCTCAGGAGTGGGTGCTTGGCTTTTTGACCAGATGCCATAATCTCTTCAATATTCAAACTGGACAGATCTTCATTATACTGTTTCTCTTGTAGTACCATGGTATCCCTTGCTTTTTTGGCATACAGCTGAAATGTCAGAAAGATAAGCTCAGTAACAGTAGCATTAATTAACTATATCACACATGCTGTAGATGCTACCCTTGCCTGTTTTGTATCCTCATCTACCGCCTTCCATTTTTCAGCAGCAATTAAGGCCACCTTTCGGAAATCTTTTCCTGCAAATGATAAACTGCTTAAAGTGACTTGATAGAGGTAAAATCCTTGATACAAGTAATAAGCATCACCTGGCATTGTAAGTTGGTTGGCCTGCAGCAATACAACTAGCTTATCACTACCAACATAATTAAGCAGTGTTTACTGCAATGCACAAATGACTAAATATAAATATTTATAATAGAACAAATCTATCTATGGAGAGAAGCTGGAAATTCCAAAGAAAAATGTGTTTCCTCTTTACAATCATCCTCACAATAAAAAGAGCCATCATGGCAACTCACGATCACAGCAAGATTGAAGAAGCCTATAATACATTTTCAAACATCCAATAATTATTTTATGACAATGATGACAAAGTTATGTCAGCTCACTGAATCAGATAACTAAGAGAGAAACTTTTTTCAGAACTTGGTAAATTCAATGACATTTTAGGACAAGCTCAGTGAGGTGAAGCACCAGGAACCTATAACAAACCAAAAAGCCAGGGAAAGGGCTGGACAAAGTAAACTCATCATAACATTGTAATGCAACTTCTGCTAATACCAGTTGTCAGTGGAAAAAGAGTAGGAAAGATTATTGGACTATACGGCATGTCAAGCAATCAAATAGAGAGGTGTATACTGAAAATCATTGACCAAACATAGAAAAGAATTGTTGAATGTATAAAAGATTCCTAACAGTACTGAAGGAAGCAGAGAGAGGAGGAGTTAATTACTTTGGGAGCCAAACTGTAAACACGCATAGCATTACGGCATAGATTGTAAAACAAAAAGGTCTACTAGTCACAGCAAATACTCTTCATAAAGGTTTTTAGTTGTAAGTGAGTGCCAATACTTTAATGGAGACAGTTAGAGCCTAAATTATTGAGCACAAAATCCAGTCACCACCAACAACCTTCATACCAGCTTTCAGTGAAGGAAAGAGCATATACTGAACCAATTCTCAACCCACTAAGCACATGGTTAAGCTTCAAACAATCTTTAAGCTTGTGACCTCAAGCAAGCTTAGGTGAATAAAGCACCATGACATCATGATTGATTGATTGATATGTGGAGTTTAACGTCCCAAAACCACTATATGATTATGAGAGACGCCGTAGTGGAGAGCTTTGGAAATTTAGACCACCTGGGGTTCTTTAACGTGCACCCAAATCTGAGCACACGGGCCTACAACATTTCCGCCTCCATCGGAAATGCAGCACCATGACATCCATCAAAGATCAAACGGATCCAAGATGTACCAACAGGACATGGTCAAAATATCGGGACGTGTTTTGGGAAACTTCCAGATGGCCCTGCGACATACAGACCTGTCCAACTCTTGTAGCTAATTGAACTTATCTCACTTTCAAAAACATGTCTTTTTTGATGTGAGAATACTAATATCCTATTTTCACCAGCCTGCTTACATGAACAACAAATTAACCACCATGAAAGTATTGGCTCCAAGTAAGAAGACAATAAATTGCAAAAAAGGCAGCATACGCCATGGACTGTATTGAAATTCTTCTGTAAGTAGTGTAAATGCACTTGACTACGGCTCATGGATTTCACAATGTGGAATTTTTCGTGCCTGCAAAGCACCAAGGTCAGCACCAGTTATTCCCATGTGAAGTTTGGAAGGTGCATAGATCACTAAGGCACAGTGTTGAAAGAAATGTAAGCATGCTGCACAAGTGCTTGAATGCACCGTATCCTAAAGAACGGGCGGATAGGTAGTACTCGGAGAAAGATTTCAAGGTGCAATCATGAATGAAAAGTGTTTTTTCATTATTATTTATTTACTTGATGTAAAGCATCAGATGTGAGAAAAGGTCCACAAAGTGATGTTGGTTCAAGAAAGTTGGTAGATGCATGAGTTTGTCACTGAAAAAATTTAGTGCAAGCTTTTCCATATAAAAAAAAAAACGCTGCTTCAAACCAAGCTGACGACTTGCTCAATTTGATGCTCAACATGCAAGAAAATAGCCATCAAGTCACATTAAAGACTACACTGCTGCATAGTCTACAGAGGTTAAAGGTCATAGAACACATAATCTATAAGCCTTTTAAAAACTGCTGTTGCAAAAGCATGACATTAAAGCCATACAAGCTACTTAGTTGTTCTAAGTACCATTTTAGGTAAAAAGGCAGTGCTATTGCTACCTGTCAATGGCTAGAGTCTAAATAAAGTGAAAATAGTTCTGCTCTGTAAAAGTAACTGTATGTGCCAGTTCACTGTAGTGGTTGTCTAATGAGGTCTTCTTTAGACAGCTATAGTGAATGCAGAACCAATGAATATATTATAGTTTTAAGAAAAGCTGGCGATGTCTGGGGAATGTTTGACTTCACAACGTCGTATTTCAGCAGTTGATCAGCAATGGTATGATTACATGATCAGTAACAAACTGGCTCATGGCATAGTGGTGCTTGAATAAGTGTGCCAATGTGTGACCCACGGAGGCTCTGACAACCAAAGCGAGAGATGACATTTTTTTTAGGAAAGTAAGAAGATTAGCACAATGCCAGCTTATGCCACGGTCATTGATGAAGCTGTAAAGTACTTTCATGAGCAATATGAGTTCGAACACACGAGCACGTGGCAAATAGCCTCGAACGCTATATCGGCTGATTCGCAGCGGCCGTTGTCGGAAGCTAAGTGGAAAAGGCACCCCTCTTCTGGTATCTGTTGACACTTCCGCCTAAGCATCGTTACTGCAAAACAGCGGCTTATTGCATGTTAGTGGCTGTGGTAATATGAACTCACATAACGCACACAGTCACACCGAATCACCCATGTAGCTGCTGAGATATCGGCTGTGACGTAGGCTGCCTTGATGCCACGCCTGTATTATATGTAGGCGGTGTCGGATGCGCATTTTCGTGCATGTCTTTCACTCACTTTGTTTTTCGTGCATTTTTCTTCGTGTTATCATCGCTAGCAGCAGATTGCACGCAATCATCAGCCATTTGCCCGCAACGCTAGCGAAGCGGGAGTGCCAACAGACAGTGGAAGACCACCCCTCCTTTCTCGTTCGGTTTCGGCAGCGCCATCCACGTATCACGTTATCTTGGTTTTGATGCCACTTGCCACCACGTCGCGTGTTCGAGCTCATATTGCTCACGATAGTACATCCATCAGTTAAGCAGGAGATGGCGAGATGCAAGCTGGTATGGAAATTGGTGCACCCATTTCGAACAGTTGGGATGTCAATACACACATTAATAGAGGGGAGACAATCAAGTGAACGGAGAAGCCCAAAACATTCATCTTGCAGCTATCTTACAGGTTAATGCAGCAAAATTTGAACGAAGAGCCCTGTGCAACCCTACCAAGCTGAGCACAGCAAATGTCATAAGGCAGAAACGATCATATGACATTGATTGATATGTGGGATTCAACATCCCAAAACCACCATATGATTATGATTGATGCCGTAGTGGAGGGCTCCGGAAATTTCTACCACCTGAGGTTCTTTAACGTGCACCCAAATCTGAGCACACGGGCCTACAGCATTTTCGCCTACATTGAAAATGCAGCCCCGGCGCGGTGGTCTAGTGGCTAAGGTGCTCTGCTGCTGACCCGCAGGTCGCGGGAACGAATCCCAGCTGCGGCGGCTGCATTTCCGATGGAGGTGGAAATGTTGTAGGCCCGTGTGCTCAGATTTTGGTGCACGTTAAAGAACCCCAGGTGGTCGAAATTTCCAGAGCTTTCCACTACGGCGTCTCTCATAATCATATGGTGGTTTTGGGACGTTAAACACCACAAATCAATCAAATCATTACATTGAACATGCAGCCGCTGCAGCCGGGATTCGATCGCGCAAAAAAGCTAAAATTGTATGGTAAAAAAAAAGCATATATAAGTGCATGCACACAAACTGCTACAACTTACAGCCTCTTTAGTGTAAGAAGCATATGAGCATATGCACTGCAAATACTCCAAGATTCCTTTCTTGTGGACGAGGCATATCGTCATTCAGTAGGGAGCAAAGCAATTCAGTGATTCTAGACAGTACAATGTGACAATAAGCTGTCGCATTATTAGGTACATTTCTTGAGTGTACATTTCAAGGAATTGTCCTGTTTTATAATATACACCATAACTACATTACTGAAGCTAGACATATGTGCGCAGTTTTTTTTTTAAGCTGTATTGACAAATTAGACAAAAATTTCGGCTGCAAGCTCACAGAGACTCGAAACCAGAGAAACAAAACACCCCTAGTAAGACCAGCTTTAGCGACTTCACACGACCTATGCAGTCAATGCAGTCAAGTGGGAAGGGCTAACCAAGAATAAATGTTAGCAGGGCACAGTAAATGCATCAATATCACAACTTCACCCCGGTGATAGCTGGAGATCAATATCAATCGTAAAGGTGGTGGCAATGCGAGTTGCATGACTACTTGAAAACTGCGGCCGCCGCGAACGTCGTGTTGCTGCAAAATTTTACTGTATTTATACATACTACTGAGTTACATGAAGCTGAGCAGTTCACAAAAATTCCAAACGTGCGACGTTCTAACTGACACTGCTAACAGGTCAAGTCATCCGTGCCTTTTCGTTTCCTTCAGACTAGCATGTCTTGCGAGCAAGCAAAATCGAGATCTTTGAATATGTTACCTGGGTTTTCTTTTTTCAACGAAGGCCAGATCGTCTTCAGAAATAAGTTATAACCAGACAGGCGCTTCGGACGGCAGGGTAAACTAGCTTTGGTCGAGAGTTCACGAAAAGATAGCCACGCTCTTAACATCTGTAGTTCAAAGGTGAGCTGTTTACACTATTTTGGAGAGTATCGTTTGCCTGTTATGTTACTCCAGCCACAGGCTGTGCTCCAGCGTGCATAGTTGCACGGACTGCACGCGCCACGGCCTACTACTCGCAATACACGACCGTCAATACACGACCGTTGCTACCGTCCTCCATGAAGATCCTTCTAGTACACTCTATCCATGACACGCTTGCGACTACGACCTTGGCTTGGATAGCTGATGCTGATGACCTCTGATGGATGGCGCTTACGGGCCACAAAGGGGGATGGGCCAAGAACCGGGCGGCAGGATACTTAAATGAAACTAAACTGAAAATGAAGCCAATCTGAAAAAGTAGCTTAAAATAATACTACCAAAAACAAAAATGTGTGCTAAGCAAGCGGTCAAACCATCTTTTGTTTTTGAAAGACATAACTACGATTTATAAACTAAAGATCTGAAAAGGTAGTGGTTCACTAGCATGGTAATCTTTTAGTTGCGTTGATGTAATCAAACACAGCGGAGCATACATCCCTGTGGATAGCTTAAACGGCTTGGACGCAGGGGCGTGGGTTAAGTTTTTTCTTCTTCTCCTTCTTCTCTACTTCTTCTTCTGGTCATCTGTGCCTTGCGTGCACGAGCACGGTCATTGATACGACGTGGCTCTCGTTCTTGGTCGACTGTTTTATTGTGATAAGAGGTACAGTACAGTAGCAGGTTTGACGTGAGTCTGCTCGTGATGAGTTCTCCAAGAGCATTATTCAATGTCCCGCTATTTTAAAAGTATTTTGGTTTGGAGTTGCTCTACAAATCATGTAATGAGAGTTTGCAATCGAAACAGGATGCTCTGATTGTTCTAGCTCACTATCTCCTTGTAAAAAATGGCAAACTTTGTGCAGGAACCGGAGAAATGGTAAGTGCTTTCAATCGTTTGCTGCCTACTTTAGTTTCGACTGCTACAGCGTTAGGACCATTTTGTTAGGATAATTTCCACACAAGCGAAAAAAAAATTGTAGATATGACTTAGGCAGAACTGGTATTCAACGAATAATATAATTTGACATGGTTTAGTGCGGCGTGAAAGCCTGAAAAACAGAGGTGAATATTTCACGATAAAGCAGTTTTGTTATTGCTCAAACTTCGCTAATATTTTGTAATTTTTTGTGTTTATGTTTCAGTGCTTCATCACTTGTGTAGAGGAAAAAAACAATTGTGTAAAGGCATTAAATTTGTTGTAAATTTGTGTCGTTTGTATTGCCACCTACTGGCAGTCGGGGAAAGCATCCGCTGTTGGTCAAGCGGTTGATTTGAAGGTGCTGTGGCGTGTACTTATTTTTCTCTCATAATCCCAACATGACAACGTGAGATATGGCAGTGCGCATTAGTAACAAGAATGACACAAAATAATAGGCACACATACGTGCTTCTGTATGTCTTCAGTGTTGTAGTGCTTTCTTTATGTGCTTTGACACATACCATCACGCTAATCTAACTAGCCCACCTGCACATATCACTGTGTGTGTAGTATGCACATAGTTAACCACATATATATATATATATATATATATATATATATATATATATATATATATATATATATATATATATATATATATATATATATATATATATAGCAATTAGCATGACGTCTCTTATGTTGTATTAACCGAAAGGAAAAAAAAATATAATGCTTTGCATTGCTTGTTCACTATAAGAATTGCCAAATATTGTATTTATAAAGAATATGTTTTGTTGGACATTATTCAATGAAAAAAAAAAAACAAATGTTGCTAGAGCAAACAAACCTGGCAAACCTCCCCCCACCGATCCTGTATTTTTCTTGTTCATCTTTTCGTCCGTTCCTCGATCTCCAATCAACAAAACAAAATAGTCCCTTCCTCTCCTTTTTCTCTTCACTCTTATCCTGCATAAGGCACAGTGACTTGCATATTATACGATAGTAAATAATTATTTCTAAATAATTCATACTAATTACCTTATGCCTCAAACGAAATTTCTTTCACATTTTTTTAAAATGAACTGTACAACAAGAAGAGTAAAAACAGTTAGCATTTTCTCACAATTTTTCTTAAGGCATAACTGTTCCTGGGCATTACCGGGTTAATTTGTTGCCTGAGGTCACTCGAGCTAAACTAAGCAGATTTTGAAATCTTGTCTGTATGCTTTTGTCTGCACATAGTATGTGTTACGTGTTTCTATTTGATGGCAACATAATCTCATAACATTTATATGAAAGAAGCAATCACACAGTACCAGAAACACAAAGGCACAAGCAGGGGACATTTTTTTAATAAACACCACCTAGTCTGCTGTACTAAATCTCTCCAAATCAATTGATATATTAAAATTTCAATGGTGTGGTAAGTGGAACAAGAAATGAAACTTATTATGCCCTGCTTCATTTTTCAATAAATCTTATAGTCGAGTATACATGTGCGAAGATGTCATTCTTGTGGTATGTTGGAGAAAACAAAGACTGAATGTGCTTGGAAACGACGTTTTTTTTTTTCCCACTGCGATTTCAAGTGGTCAATGGAAAATACTTGTGAGTGCTGTGTAGTTGTAGTTGCCGGGTGCAACCCTGCCAGACAACTCAGACTGACCCATGCTGCTTAAATAATTAAGGTTTTCTGCTGCTACGACTACTCAACCGTACTGTGAGATTAGATTATTAAGTTCACTGAAACAGCTTCAAACTGTTATGGACCATGCCTAGAGGAGCAAAACGGAGAAGCGAGCGAGTTGGTACTGATTCATTAGGGCATAAATACAGTGCAAAAAAAGACGAGGACAAAAAAGTCTACACCACAAGCGCTTAGTGACAACTGAAAGCTTTATTACTTGAACCGAAAATATATAACATACAAACTTGATGCTGGGGAGGAAGGTAGGAAGGGGCTGCAGGAGGTGTGTTCTTGTTTTAGTTCCTTGCCTTTTGCTTTGCCCACGAAGTGTATTCGGAAGATTTAGTGGAGCGTCAAGCTTAGATATTATATATTTTCAGCTCAAGCAATAAAGATTTCAGTTGTGAAAGCACTTGTCACGTTCCTTTTATTGTCCACGTCTTTTTCTTTTTTTTTGCACTACATTTATGTTGTAATGCTTACAGGATAATACTGTTGTGTTCTGGCTTTCGGTTTCGGAATGACATGTGAGGATGCCAGGGGGCGCTGCTCTGGCATCCAGGGTTGGTGGGATGAGGAAGTTAAGAGAGCATAGCAAAACGTCAGGAAGCCTTTAGGGAACACAGACATGCTAAGCAGCGGGGTGAACCGACAGATGATGTTGAAAGAAAATGGGAAACCTTTCTAAGCTGTAGAAGGGATGCATCCCTTCTGATCAATGAAAAGATTAGAAGAAAAGGAGCTCAGTGGCTGGCAGAAGTACATAAAAAAGATAGAAAGGCAGCTGCGAAATTTTGGAACCATCTAAACTCCCTAAGAAATCAGACGAGCCGAGAGCAGAGGTTTATAACTACAGCCCAAGGTGCTAGGCTAGAAGGGGACGAAGCTATTGAATATGTAAGAACAAGGGTGACAAAAAAATTTCAACAAAGAAGTGCTTTATGCACCACAATAGACAAGGACGAACCAAGTGGTGCAATGGCTCCATTTTCACAACGTGAGTGGGAAAGGGCTGAGAAAAGGGTTCCGAGTAGTACATCAACAGGTCCAGATGGCATTCCAATTATGGTGATAAAGACATTAGGTCCGAAGTCTAAGCAGGCTTTGTTAGAGGCAGTGAGCAAACTAATAATCGATGGGGAAGTTCCCGATGGATGGAAGCTTAGCAGGATGAGCATGATCTATAAAGGGAAGGGGGACAAAGCTGACATAAACAACTTCCGTCCCATAACAGTCACATCAGTGGTCTACAGGCTGGCGATGCAGATTATAAAGGAAAGACTTCAGGCATGGATAGAGGATGAGGGGGTGCTGGGAGAACTGCAGAATGGGTTTCGGAAATACAGGAGGCTGGAAGACAATCTGTTCTCACTGACGCAGTGCATAGAAATAGCAGAAAAGGAACACAGGCCCCTGTGGCTAGCAATTTTGAATATCAAGGGAGCGTACGATAGCGTGGTTCAAGAGGAATTGTGGGGAATACTGGACGCACTAGGCGTGGAACATGTAGTCACTAATCTTTTAAAGGATATCTATAAAGGTAACAAGGTAGTTATAAAGGGGGAAAAACAGGTATCCAAGCCTGCAGAGGTAAAACGGGGGCTTAGGCAGGGGTGTCCCCTGTCACCCTTATTATTCATGATGTACCTACAAGGATTAGAGGCCAAATTAGAGGGAAGTGGACTGGGCTTCAACCTCTCTTTAGTCAAACAAGGGAAACTCATTGATCAGGCACTACCAGCATGAATGTACGCAGATGATATAGTGCTAATGGCCAACAACAAGGAAGATTTGCAGAGATTGATGGACATCTGCGGTAATGAGGGAGATAGGTTAGATTTTAGATTCAGTAAGGAAAAATCAGCAGTCATGATTTTCAATGATAACGAAGGTAGTGAGCTTAGAATACAGGAGGTCACGCTAGAGATAACAGATAAATACAAATATCTGGGCATATGGATAAGCAATGAGACCGAGTACCTGAGGGAACACGAAATATACATGACGACTAAAGGTAACAGGAATGCAGCAGTGATGAAAAATAGGGCACTGTGGAATTACAATAGATATGATGTTGTGAGAGGAATATGGAAAGGTGTCATGGTTTCAGGTATGACGTTCGGCAATGCGGTCTTGTGCATGAGATCAGAAGTTCAAGGAAGATTAGAAATTAAGCAACGTGGAATAGGTAGGCTTGCTTTAGGAGCTCATGGGAATACACCAAATCAGGGAGTACAAGGTGATATGGGATGGACATCATTTGAGGGCAGGGAAGCTAGCAGCAAGATAAAATTTGAGAAGCGATTGAGAGAAATGGGGGAGGAGCATTGGGCTAGGAAGGTTTTCAGCTACTTGTACATGAAGAATGTCGATACAAAATGGAGGAAGCGAACCAGGAAATTGACTGGTAAATACTTAGAAAACAGCAGGTGGCCAAACCAAAAAGAACTGTCGGTTAAGAAGAAAGTGAAGGAAACTGAGACTGACATGTGGAGAATGGGCATGATTAAGAAGTCCGCACTTGAGACCTATCAAACCTTTAAGCAGGAAATTGCTAAGGAAAGGATCTATGATAATACTCGGGGTAGTTCTCTACTGTTTGAGGACAGGACGGGAGTACTGCGAACCAAGACATATCGGGCCAAATACGAAGGGGTAGACACAGTATGCAGTGCGTGTGGAGAGGAAGAAGAAACTGCCGAACACTTGATAATGTTCTGTAAAGGGCTTCACCCTATAGTTCAGGATGATGGCGCAGAGTTTTTCAAAGCACTGGGATTTAGGGACAGCGAGGGCAAAATAGACTTTAAGCGGGTAGACTTAACTAGAAGAAGGTTATCTGATTGGTGGCTAAAGTCAAGGCACGAGTGAAAATTAAACCCTTCACTGCGAAGTACGAATCCTCAACTTCATTATTTAAAGAAAAAAAATAAATCTAGTTTTTGGTTCATTAAGTATTACGGCTTGGTAGCGCTAGCCACCGCCTGATCTAAAGGGTACATTCATCCATCCATCGGGTTTCAAGGCGACTGTAAAATAAAAACAGTGTGTGTTGGGTAACCGTAGAGTGCGGTTGTTGTTCTTTCCTTCGGCGTTTCGCCACAGAGAAAGAAGACAAGGGCGGACACTCCGCGAAACCTGGCCTCAAGAAGTGCGTCACGACTACGTAACGAACTAGTGCTCTCACCAAACGTCAAAGAGCGCAAGCGCCAAAAAAAAAAAAAAACAGTTATAATCAATGCAACAGAATTGTTTTCACAAATTAATAATTATACGCCCAAATTTGGTATGTTCTTTATACATAAAAACGATTTATTCAACACACCTTACGCGATTATTTTTCTTCAGCCGTACTGTCATAAACACCATCTACCCAGCGACACGCCCATGCTACACATGTGGAGAGGATTTAGGGTAGGGCAACCATTTTATATAAATTTCAGTTGCAAGTCCAGCACTTGTCTTGTAATGGTCTTATTAAGAGAAGTAATGTACGTCAACACGGAAAGAACAGAAAGGAAACAGTCGGCACATTCACATTTCCCTATGTCCTTGTCTGCAAGCATAACATTTGTCGATTTTGAAAAATTGCCCGCAGCTTCCCTCGGGGGAACACTGAGGAGGATGCGGAGCATATAATTGGTTAACGGGGTGTTAAAGTGCGACTTACTTGGGTCGATGGCTAAATTGGTTAACGTGGTTGTGAAATGGGGTGTTAAATTGCGACTTACTTGGGTCGATGGCTAAATTGGTTAACGTGGTTGTAGGAGGGGGTGTTAAATGAGTGAACACGTACACACGTATGCGAAAGGACGGCGCTGGTCGAAGGGACGTCGATCATTGTGTTTGTGGATTCGTTGGAATTCATTTCACCGCGACCTTGGACGTCGACGCGCCGTACAAACCAACCGAGGAGCGGCAACTGAGCGAGCGAGCGCCGACCTTGAGTATATATACAGTGCGACGGCGCATGCACTGTCAGCTGTTGAATGTTCTCGAAGGAGAAGCGCGCGCGCGGCACAGATGGCGACGGCGCGACGGCGCATGCGCTGTCAGCTGTCGAATGTTCTCGAAGGAGAAGCGCGCGCGGCACAGATGGTGGGCGACGGCGCGACGGCGCATGCGCGCGCGTCAGCTGTCGAATGTTCGTGAAGCGGTGCGGACGGCGCACTACAAGGCGCGAGTATAAGATGCTTCCGCATCTAAAAAACAACTTTATTAAGTCCAAAGTTGACTTGGGGTAGATCTCAGCTCCAGCCTAAGCATCAGCCATCTTAGGCTCTGGCTGCTTTCTTGGTTCGCCGGATGGCCCATAGTTGTAATGCAGAATTCAGCAGTGCCTCTTCTCAGCACACCCTGTGGTTGACACTGCCTTGTCGTGGTTTGTGTACTTTGTCATCTAAGCTGAAGCACTCTTATAGTATGTGGCCCTGTGTTGCCCTAGCAGTATAACAGGCATAAAAGATAACTGGGTTTGGGTAAGTGTGTTTTTTGCAAACGCCGCCATTAGTATGTGGCCCTGTGTTGCCCTAGCAGTATAACAGGGAAAGATAACAGGGTTTCGGTTAGTGTGTTTTTTGCAAACGCCGCCATGCAACTGCCTACTTTTTATTTAATCTGTTGTGTAGTGGTGGATGTTGGCATTTCCTAGCTTGCACTGCTGCATTATTTCATTGTAGCTAGTCATGCGTTCTCCCAACTTCCACAGTCGCCCGCATGTGACTGCGGTCAAGGCAGAACCTGGGTTCGCTGCGGTTCGTTTCCTGAACTCTCAAAACACTGCGTGTGCCACCTCATTATGGCCAGTGGGGTTTGTGTGTGTTTGCGTGGGAAGGGGTTATATAACAAAAGTGTCATTTTTGCTTTGGATTTCACCGTTGTCAGTAGGATTCGTAGCCCCTCTCGAAAGACCCATCTATTAGCATAGTTATGCATTTTATGATAAAAAATTAACTAGCCCGACATTGTTTTTGAAAGTTTCTGTTCTTTGTGTTCATGTTTACTTTCTGTTACCTTCTACCGCTTTCTTTTAACATTGACAATGAGCAACCATGATAGTATAGTGGTTACGAAGCTGTGGTGCTGACCGAAGAAATGTGGGTTTTATACTGGCTACTACGGTCGCATTTCAACAAAGGTGAAATTATTGAGGCCCATTTACTTAAATTTAGGTGTGCATTAAACAACCCGAGGTGATTGAAATTGCCCTCCACTATGGCTTGCCTCATAGTGATGCCTTGGCTTTAGCATATAAAATTTGAGCCATCACTATTACGTTTTGACAACCATGTGTCGTCAAAGAAATTTGAGTTATATATTTTCTCCTCATTTGCTCTTAACATGTTGCCATGAGAGAAGTGAAGAACAACAGCCTTGAAATTTCTTGCTTGACATGCAGCCAGACGTGTAACCTGGAGTTGAAGTGCATTGTGTGTATCACAAGACCAAAGCATTTAATACACCTTGATGCATGCTCAGGCTTTGTTAAATCCTATATGTGCGTCCCTCTCCTGTAAACTGTATTATTTTGTTGTCTAGTTAGGTTAAGCTGGATATATATTTTTTGTAATATTTCTAGATATGCGATAGATTCTTCTGTGAGCTTGTGTTACCTTCGGCTAAACATGTGCTTGTTACCTTACATTTGTGTAATTTCCCACCTGCATGGTCCTTTGCGACTGCAGTATACTGTAAATAAAGTAAAATAAAATAAATAATAAAAACACATTTTTTTTCTACTTCTCTACAGTGAAAAGTTTTGACAGCTGACAACTACAACTGATGTATAAACGGTGAACTTCATACAGATAGCACAGATTCCACATTGCCATGACCGTACTGTGAATGTAACTGTTTACGAATGAAATGTGTATCAAGACATTTGTGATGTTACAAGACACATGATGGCACTCATTTGACAGTTGCTTTATTTGAAGAAAATTTGATTTGACACTACTTTAATGCTTATGTTATTTAAGATAGTAATGTCCTTGGTCTACTTACATTTTAGCACCTCTATTTTGCAGAGTTTGCACAAACTGCAGAAACACAACTAATTTTTCTTCAACAAATAATTTAGGACCTTTAGTGACCAGGCATTCTCGTACTTAAAGGGACAATTAAGTCAAATAATTTACGCCAGAGTGAAACCTCAATGTATGACACCATCTAGAACGATAATATCATCAGCAACAGCGCCCTACTTACAGAGAAATTAAGGTAAATGCACAAGAACACATGCGCCGCAGTAAGACATTCTCAGAATGATCCCGATGACATCAGACGAACCGCCTACAATCAATCACTAGTAATCAATCTAGCTGCACTAAATAAAGAACCTTCCCTGCATCAAGAGATGCAATAAAATACTGCTTGATCGTTTCTGCTTGATTCATAGAAAAAAGAACCGCCAGATTTACCAGCGGGAAATGGTGCGAGTAGTTCAAAAATTCAATTTTCGTGTGGTCAAACTGGACAGGTCGCACCATCTAGCGGGGCCCAGTTGAACACAACACGTCTGCCATCCTTGAGCCAATGGCGGCAAATCAATCAATGGTCGATGCTGCTGCTGTGGCTCCCGCTGCTTTCGGTCTGCTGCTACTAGTGCAGTAAAGACGAGCCACGTTGTGCACGGCAACAGTGACGTGAGTCGGTCCGCTTCTTGAGGCGGGTAATTTGAAGTGCGATAACCCGATGAGAACCACTAAAACGCGATTTTATTTCAAAATCAGCCCTTCCTTGGCACAAAAGTAACACTACGAGGTTTCTGGACCGCTATTTCAACAATGAATGTCGACTTAATAGTTGCCTTTAGTGTCTCTTCAATGAGTGGCCCTTACACCCAGTCGTGAACTCCATTTACGGACAAGTTTTTTTTCTGTACATAATCTCCAACAGTACATTTTATGGCGTGGCTCACAAAATAAAAGTTGAAAAAAATCTGCATTTGGGCACTCGTAGTCTATTTGTGCTGTTCAAGCATTTAGAGCGAATGTCCACATGTATAAACTTATACAAAGCAAGTAGAAAGCCGCATGAGCAATTTAGTCATAACTGAGGGAATACTTTACTTGAAAACCGCTATGTATTATGTATTTTATAGATCTCATGTCTGAGCATCACTTTCTCTTCGATAGAGCAAGTGAAGCCTGCTCTGAAAGCTGTTATTTGCAGCACAGAACATTTATTTATCTGTACTTACCTACTTGACTTCTGTCTGAAACAGCTGTTGCTTCATTCTTAAAGGGTACTGACACAAAATTTTGAAGCCGAGATCGCCCGTGGAATTGATTGCCGTGAACATGCATGAATCTGCACTCGTGAATCCATTAATCTGCAGAATATCAACAGCGAACATAGTGTGCTAATGAGGTCGAGTGTTGCACTCGCTAGATGTGATAGTCACTCGGCGGCTTTTAGTTTTTGGAGCTCTCTCAAACCAAAATTGAGACTGGTTGGTAATGAAGAGCCTGTAATTATCTGTCGTGCGACTGCAGCAAATGTTGTGTCATGTTATAACTGACAGGCCCCCGCAACACAATGCATAAAAAAATGCAAGGCCACAATTTTTTTGTGAGTATTCCTTTAACATATGACCATGAATAGGTTTGCTATCTGTCTGATTTTAGACCGGCCACCATTAACTGGTTTTTCGTCATAATATCACAACTATTTATTATTTTCTCAGGTGTTTTTAAGTCTTAAAGTGTAGCCACTGCTGAAATACTAGAGCAAATTATAGCATGAGTATGTATATGTGAACATCTTATATTTTTGTGGGATATTCATGCCCCATATATACATATTGACTTTAGTTTAAGTCTACAATGTTTCTGGCTTTGTGAATTCAGATGAAAAGAAAGCTTTTTATGGGAAAAGTACAGAGCGATAAGCAAAACCTCAAAGTACAAGTGTCATTCCAATCACGTGTATTTTTATGGCAGCAATAAGACAAGCTGGTTTTCTCAGTCTTGTGTTTTTGTGCACATGTACATTAGGTTCATTTCACTCAAGAAAAGCAATGTTATAGTAAATGGCACTGCATGCCCAGAACTTACGGGGTCTATTGTTTAACATTAATTTTTTATACAGTTAATCCATAACCCCCCTCTTAAAGGGCCATTTTTTTTTTAAAGGTGGCAACACTAGCTTTCAATTAAGAACACATCAGTTCTCAATATAGCATTCTATGGTGTTTTGTCTGTATAGTATGCAGCACAAGCTTCTGGCTGAGATGTGTTAAAGTTTAAACACCCGCTACAATAAGACAAGGCAAGAATGTGTTTCACAGAAATATTGCTGTATAGTCACTGGAAGTTGCATAAAAGTAATCTGGTTGAGGTCATTCAAATGAACATGAACCATTAGTAAGCGCAAATCAGACAATGAACATCGTAATGTGACAGAAGATCTTGGGGGCAGGAGGTGTAGTACCAAAGATGTACATGTTATTATGGTATGCTTTGCAAGGATGGCTTTTTTCCCCTGTTTGCAATTTGTAGAATGTGCTTTTTATTACTGCTGTGACTAAAACATGTATTTGTGGGTGCTTCTGTAGAACTTTTCTTTTTTGGTTTAGACTCATGCAAATACCTGAGAACATTAAATACCTTATAAGGTATTTTGCTGCACAAATACACACTATATCTATTGGAACCACATGAACATCCCCACATAGTTTAATGTACAGAATTCATCTAATCAAAGTTGGCCTTAAGAGAGGCAAACTATACAGACGTAGTCATGCATGTAGACGTAGTCATGCATATAGACGTAGTCATGCATAGTATATGAGGCACATTTGTGAGTACCACAAGAGGAAATACGAAATCTGAGCTAGGCTTACTTGTGATGTATAAGTTCCAGCCTCACCAATCGGTATTTAGCGAACAGCAGTTTAGTCAGATATTGTTTTAATGAGCCCTCGTATTTGGTGCTAGCAAGTTTAGCACACTTTTAAAGATTGTTCTCTTTCATACTGACCAAGAATGTGCACCTGCTCACACAAATACTATATAGAATGCACATGTACTATTGGCGTCAAATTAAACACGAACAGCGTCAAGCATTCGCTATGAATAGTGCGCGCCGTCCAGACATCACCTTGAACAGCTCTGAATATGTACAGTGCTGCTAAACTGAATGTGCGTGCACATTGATGTGTGATGACCAAAGGGTGTGCACTATGCGATTATCAAGGCTTGCCACCTTTGCATTTCATTTGACCCTGATAATTCATATGCAAAATGAGGATAAGGGGTGATTTGCAGCATAAATGCACATCGAGAAAGGAGGCACTGCCATAGGCTGACCCCAGAACTGCATAATGGTGCCACAACTATGTTGTATGCTCACAGATTTTTTTTTTTTTACAGGAAACTTGTGCAGGCAGATGATGTATACATACTTACAAAGAAAAAGTGTGAACCCTTGAATACCTGAAGGCATGAGATAATGCAAACCTCTCATGCTCTAAAGCAAGCTATGAAGGACAAAAATAGTGAGACAATACAACCAGTTAAGAACATAGGCAGGTACTGTTTATTTAACTTATTTAACTAGTCTTTTACTTTTTTTTATACTTTCGATTGGAATCATCAAATTTTTTCAGTGATTTGGATATGGTAACATACACAAAATTCACTGTCAAAAACAGCAATCGAAAAATTTAACATACACTGTGTACTTCCAGTGCAGTACAGGAGATATGCACAAGAATAAACCTTCAACTACATCAGGACAATATGACCACCTAACAATAAGAACTATAGCATATGACTAAAGTGAATCATATGAGCAGTACCACTAGTTCCATAGGAACTTAGTATTTTCATCCCTAGTGTTTAAACATGGTATTAGGATGAGCTCCACAATATTGTGACTGCCACCATGAAACATCCCGCTTTCAGATACAAACCCTTGGAGTTTTTCTCTCTCTCTCTCTCTTTTTTTTGACAGCAATAAGCCCCTACATCGCTTTGCAAAACAAAAGTATATGTACAAAGCACCCTCCTCACATATATAATGTGCTGAAATGTGTGGTGCCAAAAAAAAAAAAAAAAGGCTCTCTAACGGCACTAGTTCAAAAAGTTTGAATAAAAAAATTAAATCTCTGGTGTATCTATGCAAGCTGAGCAGTCACCATAAAATGGCTAAGCGAAAAAATTCGCAATTAAATATTCAATACACTGCTGAAATTTAACTGTAGGCATCAAAAATGTCAAGAGTATACTAGGCAAGCAGCAATAATGCAAACAAGTTAATGCAGGGTAATGGTAATGAAGGCAGCAAAGATGGAACAGCGTGCTAAAATATGCAACAGTCCCTGAAGAATGAATGTGTATTGGTAAACACAGGCAGAGGAAGAAAATGAGGAAAAAAATATTTTGCCCTGTTTTTTTTCCCTGCATTTCTATGCGACAGTCTTGCGAGCAGAGCCATGCTTGCTCCTTCGAATTTCACGAAGGTCTTCTCTTAGGTCATTCAGCACGTCACTTTGGCCTTCCTTCTCCAACCTATTTGACCAGATCTTCATCTCTTGTTCATATCGGATCCTGTCCTCATCAGCTTTGTGTACATATGCCTGGGGGAAAGAAAAAAAAAAAGGAACCACCACGAGGCCTGTTAACCTTGTGTGTTGAGGTTCTTCGAACTGAGCATTCATCATATTTAGAATCTTTCAGAAGCACATGGCGGCTGGAATTCAATGAGTGAAATGCAAGAACAATAATAATTTAACTGTTCAGGTTTAACGTACCAAAACCTCGATATGATTAAAGAGACGCCATAGTGGAGGCCTTCGTAAATTTCGACCACAGGGGGTTCTTTGACGCGCAGCCAAATCTAAGTACATGGGCCTCTAGCACAATCACCTACATAGAAAATGCGGCTGCTGCAGCCACGGTTCGATCCCACAATCTTCTTGTTAGCAGTTGAGTACGTATTACAACCACTAGATCACCGTGGCAGGTAAATGCAAGAATGCTTTGTGCTTAAGCTTAAGTGCACGTTAAAGAACCCAAGGCTGTTAATATTGCCAGGTTCTTTTCCTCAAATTTTGTTATTGCCCCGTAACACTGTACGTAATTCTCAGTGTAAACCGTGCCTGCAGTGTTCGAGAAGCTTCGAGACTGTAGTAGATCATTTCGTTAAGACTACGCCCACTCTGCAAACATTACAGATTATTCTGGACCTACGTGGCTGCTAGCAATAACGCTAGAATATTCGACGGCACGTGTATAAATGCCGACACACTTCACCGCTTGTCAGTTGATCAACGACCAACGCTCTGTTCGCCGTTACCAATGCCAGTGTGTGTTGCTGCAATCTCACTTTTCGTTTGTTGGCCACAAGTTCAGCCCAAATAAACAGTTTCGTCTTCGATCTAGTCTGCTCCCTTCGTCCACATCATGGCTCCGTAACAATATAATTCTGGGGTCCCCTACTAGTCGATCATAATTAAAAGGTCAAACCTTGAAATTCAATATTAGATTAAGTAAGAAAAAGTTGACCAAGATTTTGTACAGGCTATAAAACATGGCAGTGAATTATGAGTCCATGAAAACATAGAGTCAAATCAAGCCTTCATTTTTTGCCATTTTTTACTGCTATGCATGGACACGCTTCGCATGCGGTACTGCTGCATGTTTAGTTTCTAGTGATTGCTGTCACATAACTGATTTATCTTGTGTTTCTAGCTTCGTAAAGCGTTACTATAAGAAACATTTCCATCCACTCTGTCACCAAATGAGTAACACTGCATGAATTTCATTCATTGAGACATGTGAAAGCTGACAGTATCTTACAAAGTAACCTGACAAATGATTAATGTGAACTTGAGTTTTTTGTTGTTGTTGCTTTATTGTCCCTTAAAAAATATATTTATTTTAAAAAGCTATCAAAAATATGTTATATCTAAAATAATTAGGAAACTGTACACCTGGGAGAAAGAAAGGTGTCAGTGGGTTAAAGTAAGAGCAAAGGCCCAGGATGCTATGGAGCTTGTTTGAATTGGTGAATTGGGAAGGACACTGTCTTCAGAGAACACAGGGCTTGGATTGAATGAGTATACCAAAATTACCCTTTTTAAAGCCTAAATTAAGACTCAACTTTGCTTAGTCAACATAAAATCTGAATAGAAATGACAGAGGTGGATGGCAACACAGGACCAAATATCATGTCATCAAAATAATAGAAACACAGATGGATTCCATTTCAAACCAGGCAAATGGTTGCATAAAATCTGCACAAATGTTGCCATGATATTACATAGCCTTCCCAGGATGACAAAGCTTTTGTTAGTCATTTGAGCAGAGCCACAGCAAGTAGCCTGTATCTACGGGTATGATGCAAAAACTTTCTGCACATTGCATGTATGTTTGTGCAGTTAGATCTCAATGCTTCTGTACTACCTAAAATTCAAGGGTAGCATCTCCTGTGCCGCGTGACGCAGCAGCCAGTCCCATACAGTAGTGGCTCCTGTGCCGCACGAAGTGAGATCACTTAAAAAAAAATAGCTTAAAGCTATTAAAATGTACAAATTATTTTGTATAATGCATTCCACCAACAAAAATGTTATTAAATAAGCGGTTGACAGGTCAGTCAATGTTTATTTGTTAAATAAACACATAACACAAGCATTTTAAATCTAGTGGGGGCCATGGGGCACTGCAGCTGCAAAAGATAACAGTGGCAATGATGGTAGCTTCGATGTATGGTGGTGACAACAACTTTATTGAAAACTGGCAAATTCGTGGCCTGGGACTAGGCCGCCCCCGAGGAGGGCCGGAGACCCTGTCTCCTTGCTGCCTAATAAGCTTGCTGGATGGCCCACAGTTGATCCTGCACGTTTGAGTTGCGCAGCGTGGCCCTCCACCGTGCCGCAGCTTTATCTGGGCGTGTGCCATGAAGTTTTTCAGTATTAAGTACCAATTATTGATGTTGGACGCACTGAATTTTTTAGATTGCAATGTCAAAATGTGGTGTTGTCGCAAGTGAAAGTGTCCTTGCTACCGAGTACCTCATTTTGCTTGTCGGGAAGGGTAAGGTCGACGATAAAATAAATGTTTTTGCACAGTTCAAGTGTAAATGTCCGGACGCACATGAAACCTCAGTGCGGCTACAAAGTGTTTTTACGAAGCTTAATTGTGATCTCTGAAGGCCAAAGCTCCTACATTGCAGGCCTCTTCGCTATGGGCGAACACGTACGGCCGTTCATATCATTTGATAGATAGATGCTGCTGTGCTGTCACAGACCATGCATGTTATTCAGCAAGGCAGACAAACTGTTCAGCACTGTTTTGCAGGTAAGTGAGCTAACGCAGTCGGCAGTTGCCCTTGGGCATCTTGGGCAAGTGCAGATCACTTAGAGCATTACGGTGGCACGTCAGTATTTTGAAGTGGCCTGCCGATTACCTCGTGAGATGGTGACGGTACGCTGAGCGGCATAAAAAGGTTTCCTGTTGCATATTCAGCGTAGTTACGGTGCGGTGCACATTTGTTATCAGAACTTTGATAAACCGTGCAGATCGAGATTGTTGATGCGTGTACCGGAGAAACCGATGCAGCCAGCTGCATTTGAATTTAGCGTGTCCTCCTCCGTCTCACCAATAAAGACAATTAATTTGCAAAACAGTTTATTATAATAATATAGTCAATTCTACGAGGGTAATCAAGGGCCTGTAGACAGCACCACCAGCAGCACAGCAGCAGCAAGTCAGGCTGACATGAGGCTGATTAGGAGGCACAAATGTTAAAAAATACTTGCGAAAAAAAGAACTGCAGTGGGGTTTGACCTAACGACCTCGCCCGTCCTGCATGTGCCATGCTAGCTAACTACGCCACAGCTGCTGGTCGGTTCGGAGGGTTTAACAAGCCGGTTTTGTATTGTTGTCACTCTGATGGTAACTTTAACGGCTTCTATCGTTATGCCTAGGCATAACCCTAGACACTACAACTATTCAAACGAAGCGCCTAGCCAAAAAACTGCATGACGTCACTTCCGTGCGGTGCAGCAGCCGTTTCTGTGTGAACGTGGCTTGTGCACCGCACGGCGCAGCAGTCTCTTCTAAATTCCTGTGAGGGTATATGCAGTGCAATGGCTAAGATGTCAAAAGTACATTCACAATTTTTATAAACTAAAATAAGCTGCTTTATCTCGACAGGTATTCGCTAGTGAAGGCATATAAAGCAGAAAATAGCACTAAAAATAAAGCTTCCCAAGTTTACATACCGTAAGAAGCACATCTGATTTTCGAAGCAGATACACATGTTTTACATTTTATCTATTTATGAGGCACAACTGAGAAATTCAGACCCTAAAGTGTCGCCATTGTGTAAGAATGTAAAGGTCAAAGGAAGACCATGCTTGTGTTCAAAATCTTAAGGCGAGGGTAACAGAAACGAAAACATTCCATGGGCAACAAGCTATGTGCTAACCTCATTCTTTTGAAAGGGAACTAGATCTGGTCAACAGCCGATTGCCTTGAACCCTTTAATACAAATGTTTGTCTTGAAACTTTTAATTGAGCATTAACGATCAGAATTTACCAGCTGCCTTGTTGCTACCCATGTTTTACTCGTGAACGAAGGCTGTTCGCACTAGTGAAAGTTTCCTGGCTCCAAAGAAGTCATAATTCATGTGTTACATATTCACTACAGCTGGCGATAACAAGTAAAAAATTGGTAACTGAAAAAAGTAAGGAAACGCTGATGCATTACCTGCTAAGCAGCAAGTATTTGTTGAGGAGAAAAAAGAAACATTAGCACCTAGAGACTAAAGGAAATCTTAAAAGAATGAGATACACACTGATCAGTATTAGTGCTGGAAGTAGAGGATAGAAAAAGACTAGTAACAAATCTAATTTAACATACAACAGCATTTTTTCATACCAATAAAGTGAATGCTAACCAATACCATTCAAGCTCACCACCTCTATCCTTACTTCCATCCCACATATCCAACATATTGGCGAAAGTTGCCAGTGAGTGTAGCTCTTGAGAAAGTTTACCTTGGTCACTTGCATCATGCATGTAACTTTGAAAGTATTTGCCAAAATGGCTGACCTGTTTCTTTTCTTCGGGCAGCTGCTTCCACATGGCACCAAGTTGAGTCATCATCTCCTGAAGTTCAGAAATAGAGAATGCAGAACCATTAAGGCAAGCATGTTAGAGAAAGCACTGCTTTTTCTCTCACTTTGAATAAACCATATAGCTAGTGTAGCAAAACAGCATTCAGTTATTTGTATCACTTTTTTTTTTGTTGACTGTTCAAGCACAACTTTCGAAATTAAGAAGTGAATGCTACAGAGGTACCTAGCCAATGCAGTTTTGACAATGAACTCATGCATTTTAACTTGGGATCTATGTATAATTTTGTATAAAGTCAGTCTTTCATTTTTTATTTATTTGTCAATAATGCCACAGTTAAGTTTTTGAAGCAAAACAACAAAATTTTTTAAATTAAATATTTTGAAGTAATTTCCTGGATTATATAATAATACAAAAGCCTGTGAATGTGATGGCTAAGAAATGAATTACACTTAGCAGTCTGAAAAGTGGCAGGAAGAAAAAGATAGAAGCTTGTGATGAAAAAAAATCTGTAAACATGGGTGTGTGCTCGAGCAGATGTTTTGACAAGTGGACTTGTCTTCTTCAAGCCTGAAATTGATTTCCTTGGCACTTGTGTGTAATGCTTCCCACTCCTCAAACCCAAGCAAAAGAAGGCGAGAGGAAAACTGCGGATGCCCCGCCTTCACTGTTGCTCTAAAAGTTTTTGGCATAGAGAGCTCACAAGACAAGCCCAAAGATAAAATACATAAGGACAGCGCAAGCAAACAGGTGACTGAGTGACATGAATGACAGGATGAGTCCCGAGAAGAGTAGCATAAGCAAAGGAAGAAAACAACAATAGGTACAAGTGGCACTTTTCTTATTCCACTGAAGGTTTTTCGAGTTCTGCACATGCAATTGTATATGACTTCAATTTTTATACACCCACCATGGTAGCCTAGCAGATAAGGCCCTGTAACTACAGTGCTCCATGACACAGGTTCCATCACAGGGAATGGCAGCTGCATTTTTATAAGAGTGAAATGCAGAGGAATACCTGTGTACTTATATTTAGGGGCATGTTAAAGAATGAAAGGTGATCAAAATCAACCTGGAGCCCTCCACTGTGGCACCTTATATTCCTATCGTGGTTTTGGCACTTAAAATCATACAAATCATTATTATTAAATTCTTATAGTGTCAAGTTTGGATATATTAAAAACTGATATTTGAAATTATTGCCTGTATACACCAGAGCACACCTATATCGCAGCCAGGCGCCTACGCTCCCGGCAGCGCACTCTTGCACTCAGACACAGGTCGGCGAACTCACTTATACGTCAACTCACTAAGACTAAGATCAAGCCATGAGTCTGAATGTGAGTATGTCTGAGTGTGAGTATGTCTGAATGAGTAATATGTTGGTGATCTTGAGTGCGAGTGAGTCTGGTCAAAGAAAATTTTCCTAAGTGGGAGTCTGAGTAAGCCCGACTAAAGAGAATTTTGGTGAGTCTGAGTGAGTCCAAAGCACCAAATATATTTCTTGAGTGAGTCTGAGTGAGTTCCACTATTTTTTGCCGACGTATGCACCCAGACGCCATTTCGTTCTGAAGTGGCAAGTCGTGTATTTATTGCACCAAGTTAACATGGAAGGCGGCTACCCTGGGACTTTAAAATACGTGAAAGCACCTGTTCACATCGCTTCTGCTTACAAGAAGTCATGTGGGCACCACTGTGTCATTTCTGGATGTGAAAACAACCAGCAGAAGTGGAAGAGATTACTCAGCACTGACTGTGAAGATCACAATACAGTTAAACCCCTTTATAAGAGGCAAGTTTCGGGCAGCGATTCCTGTCATTTATATAATATATATAAGCAGGGCACCACGTATGCATTTTCTTATCAACCCATATTTTACTATAGGCGCACTGGTGCCTCTTACACCCATTTGTCTTTTACATCAGTGTCTCTTATAAAGGGGTTCGACTGTATATTGTGGGAAACGTGCCAATGCAGTGTTTTTCAGATTGCATAGATTTCCATCCGCAACAAAAAATGCTGAGCTCCGTCGCCAGTGGATAATGGCAATCAACCGGATACACTATGAGCCCCAGTAAAAGTGTACAAGTAAACATATTGCGTGTATTGAAATGTGAAGCCAACCGTTTTATTTTACCGTGGTAATTTACATGAAGTATGCTTGTAGTATACAGCCCTAAATCATTTCTAAACTCTTTCACAGGCTCCATGCCAATAATAGGAGATATTACTACTCACGCATGCATGCACACACTGCGCACATTTTGTACAGATGTAATGGCATATTACCACGATTGAAACAAACGTGAACAGGAGAGAGCGTTGCTTTCTACTTAGTTGAACTGCGCCATGCCTTGACTACAGCTAGGCGAATCTATGCTTTCAGCCAGTGTCACCGTATACCACTATAAAATCTTGCTCTGGCTGGCGCTTTCGCACCGCATGTGTGTTCCGAGTGCCAAGCATGATTGGCAAAAGATAAGCAGATACGGTGCATGAGTGCAAGCCAAAGGAGCATACTTGCGCTACGGTGATGCCGGCTTAAGGCACAAGTTTTGCCTAGCAACAGTAGGCGTGTTGCGTTCTGTGTACGACTGAGTCGAAAGCCACGCTTTTCTGCTGTTTGCGTTTTTTCTACCGTGATAGTAGGTACATGATGAAGTGCTTCCATAGTGTGCAATGCACAGGCTGTAGATATCCCAGACTGTCGAAAAAGGTGTTTGTGACGTTTCACAAGAAAAAAGCACCTATTTCCAGGAGGCAAAAGCGCAAAACATGTTCACAGCCATGTTCGAGTTGGGAAGTTGCACATTTGATTTTAAGAGCGTTTGCTCACATGGCAGTTCAGGGTGTTGCTTCACCATGCTTGTATTAGATGATGCAACAAGCATTCTGGTGGCACCCACTGAACTCGCTGCGAGTAGTAACAGGTATTTTCAAAATATCACGTGGAAAAGTAGGCGTAGTGCAGCACAATGTGTGTATCAAAAATGTTAACTGCCTCTTTCAATATGAAGGTTATGCCTCCGTAAGAAAACTTCTCCAAACAGTACTGCAATCACACGGATAAGGTCCTATTTGTGCCTCTTTGATGTTTTTTCCTGCCAGGTCAAGTGACAGAAGTGATAGATAAGTAACTACATTTCTTTCGAATAAACTTTAGTTTCGAGTGGCGCTTTTGTTGTGTGCATTTTTTTGTTCTAGTGTCCGTGTCTGTGTGCGCACCCTTATTCAGTTAAAAGAAGCACTGCAATCACCTCTCATTTCATTAGAAATATTCATGCCAACAAAGCAGAACTGTTTTGGCATATGCTGCCATGAAGGCATTGCATCAGAAAGGAATTATATACTATGAGAATGAATAAGTAAAATGTATGCATAAAATTTAAGGCAGGGGCCTTATTTGCTCTTCACCATGACGAATTTGTTTTAGCATGCCTCAACAAAAGACAGGCATATATTGCAGTGAAGCATACTAACAGCAGTGAGAACAGTCATGAAGTGAAGCATACTAACCTGTGCCTGAAAGGGTCCCTAACCCACATAGAATGGAATGAAAAAACTTTATTTAATGAAAAAACTTTATTTAATGAAAAAGCTTTATTTCCTAACCCACATAAAATATTGTTTTAAAATGGCCCTGCGACACTTTTCCAAGTCACCATCGAGTGTGTTCTAAAGAAGTTTGTCGGCTCATGAATCGATGGGTGCAAAATTTTTTTGAATCGATCAAGTATAAGCAGGGCTGGTAAGGGTTCATCATGATGCTTGGCTTAAGCACTGTGATTCTGTAGCTACATCTTCTACTTGAGGCACTCTCAACAATCAGCCATTATTCATGAACTTACCTCACTGATAAAGAGGCAGAATGTCACACTGACCATTAACAAAGTGTAGCAAAGAATAAATAAAAAAAGGGGCATTATTAAATCATAGCCCAGAACTCAGCTCATATGGTTAGAAATATAACTTGGGTATATGAATCACTGAAATATTGTCACGGGGGTCGTGACGTGGCCGAAGACAGGAGACTTCGTGTTGGGATTTAACTGTTTCTTTGGGCGAACCTGTGCCCGGTAAACGGAAAGTCCAATTACAGCAGCAGTCTTGCACAGATAGCAGTCTTGGACTGATAGCGGCGAACAGAGCGTCAGCCTTCGATCAACAACTGACAGGTGGCGAAACGCGTCGGCATTTATACTCTTGCCGTCGAATGTTCTAGCGTTATCGCTGGCGGTGGCGTAGGTTCCAGAATAGTTCGCAGAGTGGGCGTGATCTTATCGAAATGATCTACTACAGTCCAGAAGCTTCTCGAAAACTGCAGGCGCGGTTTGCGCTGAGAATCGTGTAGTGTTTTGGGACGATAACAAAACTTGGGAAATGGAACGTGGCATTGCCCCCCTCTGAAAAAGGCATCGTCCCGATGCTTTAACTAAAGATGAAGGTACAACAATAATGCAAGAAAGTACAATGAATAAATTACGATACAACAATAATAATAAAAAAACACTGTTTCAGTTTGTTAACGCGCAGAAAACGGCTTGAGGCGCGCGACATGGACGACTTCAGGTCGCGATCAGGGTCGTTAGAGTTCGTAATGCCGTCAGGGACAACCTCGTAATCAAGTGGGCCGAGACGTCGAACCACTCTGTACGGTCCGAAGTACCGTCGCAGAAGCTTTTCACTTAGTCCACGTCAGCGTATCGGCGTTCACACCCAAACACGTTCACCGGGCTGGTATTCCACGAAGCGTCGTCGAAGATTGTAACGGCGGCTGTCGGTCGTCTGTTGATTCTTGATACGGAGACGCGCGAGTTGTCGGGCTTCTTCGGCGCGATGAAGGTACTCACTCACATCGAGGTTTTCTTCGTCGGTGACGTTGGGTAACATGGCATCGAGCGTCAATGCCGGGCTCCTTCCGTAGACCAATTTGTATGGAGATATCTGCGTCGTCTCCTGCACCGCCGTGTTGTATGCGAAGGTCACGTACGGAAGAATGGCGTCCCACGTCTTGTGTTCGACATCGACGTACATTGACAGCATGTCGGCGATCGTCTTGTTAAGCTGCTCGGTGAGGCTGTTGGTCTGTGGGTGGTACGCTGTTGTTTGGCGGTGGTTTGTCTGGCTGGATGCCAAGATCGCTTGAGTTAAGTCGGCAGTAAATACCGTTCCTCTGTCGGTGATAAGGACCTCCGGGGCGCCGTGACGTAGGACGATATTTTCGACGAAGAACTTAGCTACCTCGGATGCACTGCCTTTTGGCAGGGCTTTTGTCTCGGTGTAGCGGGTGAAGTAGTCGGTAGCTACCACGATCCACTTGTTTCCGAAAGCCGACGTCGGGAACGGTCCCAGTAGGTCCATACCAATCTGCTGGAAAGGTCGGCAAGGTGGTTCAATTGGCTGCAGAAGTTCCGCTGGCCTTGTCGGCGGTGTCTTGCGTCGCTGACAGTCCCGGCATGTCCTCACATAACGAGTGACGTCGGTGGTAAGACGTCGCCAGTAGTACCTTTCTTGTATCCTCGCGAGCGTGCGAGAAACACCGAGGTGCCCTGCCATCGGATCGTCGTGCAGGGCCTGCAGGAGTTCTGGTCGCAGAGCTGAAGGCACCACAAGGAGGTACTTAGCTCGAAGCGGTGAAAAGTTTTTCTTTTGTAGAAGACCGTTTCGTAGAAAGAACGACGCAAGTGCGCGCTTGAATACCTTCGTGACTTCGGCGGTCCTGCCTTCGAGGTATTCTATTAGGGCCCTAAGTTCCGGGTCGGCCCGCTGTCGTTCAGCGAAGTCGTCGGTAGTTATCGTTCCCAAGAAGTAGTCGTCACCCGGGTCGTCGGGTAGTGGTTGGTCGGCAGGCGCACAAGAGAGACAGTCGGCGTCGGAGTGTTTTTTGTCGGACTTGTAAATGACAGTAATGTCATATTCTTGAAGTCTCAGGCTCCATCGTGCGAGGCGACTTGAAGGGTCCTTGAAGGTGGCTAGCTAACA